ATATAAAGTAATAAAAGAAAATAATAAAATTATAATATAATATAAGCAATATAAAATATTGCATCTCTCCACAGGAAAACAAGTGAGGACGAAGCTCTCCCAAGCATTTAACCACTGGCTCAATGTCCCAGAAGACAAACTGCAGGTGAGATTTAATTTCTGTTTCAAGCCTCTAAAACGTGTAATTTGTTCTGATAATCACCGTCTGAAACRGGTCAGAGGAGGCGAGCTGTGCTCATTCAGTTAAAAGCAGCTATCACRGCAGCAGAAAGTGAAAGAGCGCTGTTCATTATTCATCCAGGTATTTAGAGGAAAGGCTGAGAGTGAGAGTCGGGTGTCGCTGAAATGCTGCGGCTCCTGACCTCGTTAAKGTTGCGTGTTCCCAGCTGTTTGTTGTTAAAGATCAGGTTTGGTGGCTTCAACTCATCAACTCATTCTTTCACTCTTTAAAGTGCCTGTGACGTCCATTTTTTGTCATCAATATGGATGCACTTTTGGAAAGATAACTTGTTGCAAAAACAATTTCACACCACTGAGATGAACAGTTTTTAAGCTGTTTGCCTGTGAAGTAACAGGAAGTGATGTCAACTTTGCTACAACGGCAACAACACAGACAGCCAAGAATTATCTRATGTTTCTTTAGATAATTTTAGTCCCTGTAAGAGAAAGATAAGAAGAGTCAGAGTTCAAAAAATATTGTTTTAATAAACAAAGACYAGAGAGTTTTCTTTCTTAGAGTGTTCCCCTTTGATGTCACTTCCTGTTTCACTTTAAATGAGCCAAACTCAAAGGAAAAAATGCCAGTTATGTGACAAAATTGGTTCAATCATGTGTTTTAGGCCAATTTTCCAAAATATGAAGATGTTTCTTTTACTTTTTGTTTGAAGGATAGGCCTGTCACAGGCACTTGTATCATTTATTATTGTTTGAAGTCACATGTTGCTCTGTCATGACCTGCTGAGTCACTTTAGATCCATGATGGAGTTCATAAATCTGAGCTGAGTGTAGGAGCACCAGGCCGGACCACCRCAGGAAAATATTTATTAAACTTGACTGAATAGGAATTAATTAGCTCCTAATGTGCTAAACTCCCTGTTGGTAATAAACTGGCCTTCACTCTCAGACACTTTCCTGATTTATTTAAAAATAAAATATATTATTATTGTGTGTAACTCTTCTGCTTTCAACGGTGTAAATGATATTAATTAAATTTTTTAGTTTTTAATTCCTGTATTGAGTATTTTCGATCAAACAGTCATGAACCTAAAATGAAAGCACTTGTGGAAAGGTTGTGTTTGGTGGATAAACTGAACTCGTACCAGCTTTGTCCATCTGCCCGACCCACAGAGTCTGCCTTTGTGCTCCCGGGACCCCCCACCCCCACCCCACACACACACAACAGCTTTCATTAACTCGCTCCAGCAGGATCCAGAACCAGTTCAGCGCATTTGTTTTCATTCATTTTGATTAATATTCAGTCCAAACAAGYCGAGCAGAAAATCCACATGAGCACWAAACGCTCGCTGCAGCTTTAGGCTCGTTCCTCGGACAGAAGRCTTCTCGTGTCTTGATGTTCTGGAGAATAAACAAGTTTTAAAATCAAAGAACATTTCTCCAATCGAAGTGATCAGACGCTCTGAACGAGGGGGTTTCCTGATCCAACGAGCTCTCGCCCCAGCAGGAGGAAATCCTGCAGCGTGCACCGATGGTTCAGTTGTATCGGTTCTTGACCACAGTTTCCTGTCCACGTGTTAAACACAATCTGTCCAAATGACTGATGTCATTCAGATTTGTTTTCATCACCATTTCCTTTATTCATACAGGTTAGTCTTGTTGAAACAGATATACAGAATTAAAACAATAAAAACAATACAAACCAAACACATTCATACAAAATAAATATATCTAAAAAAGCACAATGAAATAAATTCAAATAAACCTACTTTACTTTTTAAGTAACTAAAATCAAAAGCRTTGTTGCATTATTATGCTTTAAACGACTTTGCGGAGTTGTAAAGTAACCAAGTACAAATACTTTGTTACTGTATTTAAGTAGAAATTTTGGCTATCTGTACTT